GGGCGCGCGCCTGCGTGCGCGCCGCCTCCCAACGGCTCTTGGGCGTCAGGGAGTGCCTCTGCACCCCTCCGCACCCCTCAGCTTCATGTCTCCATCGCCTTGTAAACTTACTTACTTATTTGCACCCTCCACAGATCTTAGTGTGGAAGGAGCTCGACTATGGCTCCATGACAGAGGTGGAGAAGCAGATGCTCGTCTCGGAGGTGAACCTGCTTCGTGAGCTGAGGCACCCCAACATCGTCCGCTACTACGACCGCATCATCGACAGGAGCAAAACGCGGCTGTACATCGTGATGGAGTACTGCGACGGAGGCGACCTGTCCAGCCTCATTGCCCGCTGCACCAAGGAAAGGCATGTGTGTGACCGTCCTGTGGTGTAATGCACCTTGGGCAATGTAAAGAGCATGCTCAGAGCAAGCTGTATCCCTTAATAATCTGCTAGCGGACTTCAGAGCTGATCTCATGAGTGTAGAGACCCTTCTGAAGTGTGGAATACTTGTACAAAGCTGCTGTACTGGTGGGACCTGCACTAGAGGATATAACTAGTGTTAGATAACTTTCTTCCTATTCTGGTAGCAAAGAACACTGACTCCCTAGTGAAGGGGTTTTGGGGTCCTATGCTGTATGTGACAGTGTAAACTTTAAACAGCAAGTCATAGCTCTTGAATCAGTAGCACAGTCTGTCAACTCTCTTTGCTTTCCAGTGAAAAATCATCATATAACTTTTTCAAGAATACAATCACCAAAAGTTCCTGCAAGGAAAAAAGCAACTTGGAACATACTTTTGAACATACTTTTTAAAATTACTTATGCCCACCTTTTGTCCCCTTACAAGCACTTAAGTTGACAAAACTTCTCCTGGATGTGGTCTTAAACCTAGAAGTCTAATTACTAAGTATGGTATGAGTGTCACATTGTTAGACAAAACAAGTACTCAGCAAAAGTTGCTGGGTGGGAGTAGTTCAAAATAGTGTTGAAACTGCCCCAAAAAGTGTTATGATTTTTGGAGGTTATGTTACAATTTGTACTGGCTTAACTCTTGCCTAATGCTGTTCATAACTTTGAGAACATGCTATGCTCTTAAGTGAGCAAAGAGGTAGAACTAATCACAAAAGTGATTAGTTCTGTTGGCAATAATGGCAGTTCTATGTACCTGATCTGGTTTTATTTTTTTGAGGTGGGGAGAGAGGGTGAATATTATGGGGATTCTATAATAGAATTCTAGATGTTTGCAAACATCTAGAATTGGACTGCCTGGTAGACTATACTGCATGTAACTTTTCCCACCTTCCTTATCTACTGCAGAGCATAATGAAAAAGTTGGATGCTTTTGCATGCTTAATTTGGGGGGAGGGGGGGAAGATATTTTTTAAGCTAAAAAGAATGGGCCACCAAGTAAATTGATTTGTTTCTGCTCTGAAAATAAGCCTTGCAGATGCTTGTTGTTGCTATTTTTTTCTTAGAAAAGGTCTTGGGGTTGACTGGTGTATAACAGTAGTATTAAAAATACTGAATAAAAGTACAGGACTGAAAGCTGACAGCAACTACTTAAATATGCTGTATGTGCTATGGAGGTTATGTTATTTAAGAACATGTTTATCTTTCAGACATTACTTGGAAGAAAACTTTGTCCTCCGGGTATTGGCTCAGTTGACATTGGCCCTGAAGGAGTGTCACCGGCGGAGCGACGGTGCAGTCACCGTGCACCGTGACCTAAAGCCAGCAAATGTCTTCCTGGACAGCAAGCAGAATGTGAAGCTCGGAGACTTTGGTCTGGCTAGAATATTGCATCATGACACCAGCTTTGCCAAAACATTTGTTGGAACCCCCTACTATATGTCTCCGGTAAGTCCTTCCTTCTGTCTCACCCCCTCTTTCCTTCCTCTGAGGTCTGTTTTCTGCTGGGTAGGCCTCGGATTCCATGAATGTTTAAGAGGCTTTAATGAGAAATTACTAGTCTAAATATTAGTGACTCATTCCCCTCTCTTCATTATGAAGAAGGTATGTTTTGGAGATGCTGTTATTCAACTTAGATGTTTCAATCTCTTTTTTTTTCTCATGCCATCACTATGTTCTAATTCAGATTGCTCTTTGCAACAAAACATATTAATGCTTATGTGGTAGTATTTTAATTTTCCTTAAAGGAGGAGGGGGAAGGCACTCTTGTTTCATGGAATTTAATAGCCAGTTACTGTAATGCTCTCTTAGCAGTAAGATTAATTTGTATTTTAACTTGTATTTGCAAATGAGAAAATACACAGTATCAGGGAATAACTGTATTTTGTGTGGGGAAAACATTAATGCTGTTTGAGGTTTGGAGACTGCTGCAGCTCTTGGAAGTTTCATATAGTGTGGCACTGCTACATAACTGTTGTCAAAATATTGCTGGTAAGAATAGCTATGGCAGTTAATTAGAATGTGATCTTAAAAGTAAACCCAGAAATAATAGTTTAACTCAGCCTTGAACAGTAGCTGATACTCGATACTGCAGTAAAGAACAATGTCTTAGCTAATAAACTTAAGTCTGCCCTTTTTCTTTAGGAACAAATGAACCGCATGTCATACAATGAAAAATCTGACATCTGGTCTCTAGGGTGTCTTCTGTATGAGTTATGTGCACTCTCGTAAGTATACTTGTGGCAATGACAGTGGAAATGCAGTGGGTAGTGTATATCTCATTACATCTTGTACAGGTAGCCCTTAAAGCCTCTGGACACAATTTCTGCATGTTTATTTCTATACTGGTCTTGATGCTGGGTAATCAAAACTAATCTGATTGTAGCTTGTTTTCTTGGTTTGATGCCTCTTGGGGAAGAGAGTCCTCAAACTAGGAATTATTCTGCTTCAGACCTCCATTTAGAGCTTACAACCAAAAGGAGTTGGCAGAAAAGATAAGGGAAGGGAAATTCAGACGAATACCATATCGCTACTCAGAACAGTTGAATGAGCTTCTCAAAGAGATGCTGAACCTAAAGGTAAGAATCAAGTACTACTATTTTCTTTCCACTCATCACTTTATTAAACCTCTGATGCCATTAAACTGAAGCACTAGTTTTTTCAGTTACAAAACAAACTCAACTGAACTGGTGGTTGCTGGTCATTTTGTGACTAGCAATATTGCTAGCTAAAGAAATTGTACTTTGCAGGTTCCTTAAAGGCAGCAGCTTAGTGTTAAGCCAGGCTTGCAGAATGCCAGGAGGCTGTCTGCACACTGACCTGTGCAATAATAGTTTTCTGCCTCCTGGGTTAAAGTGCCTCTGCCATTTGGAAAAGATTGTTTTGCCTCCCTCTCGGGGCAAGTTTCTCATAAGTAACAGCCCACATCAAGGGGTGGGAGGGTAAAGAATGTGATGAGAATAATATGGATGGGATGACAAAGCTGTAACAAGCAATAAATCTCAGACAGGTATTCTTCAGGACTTGGACAGGTTCTTAGGTCAGGTTCTAAGGTGTGGATGCTTGGGCTGGGGAAGCCAGAGCTTGCAGCTGCTAGAACTGGAGACAACATCTTCCTCTCAGCTGTTGTCCCCTGGTTGAATTAGCATGATTAGCTTAGCTGCTGCCCCTTTCTTGAGTCCATTTTTCTGCAACTTTTGTTGTCTAGCAGCTTGACTGGCCTCAACCTGAGGCTGGTCTTGATCGGGGATTCTTGATCTTAACAATGGCTCTTTTTAAGAGCAAACCTGTTGTTAACTTCTCCTAGGATTATTGCCGTCCCTCTGTGGAAGACATTCTGCAGCACCCCTTGATAGCAGACCTGGTGGCAGAAGAACAAAAAAAGAATCCTGATAAGAGGGGTCAACGGGCAGGGGAACCAGAGAGGCCGCAGCACTTGGGAACTCCAGTGAACGAGCTGAAGCTGAAGGAGCAGCAGTTGCAGGAGAGGGAACAAGCCATTAAAGAGCGGGAGCAGCGTTTGGAGCGTATGATATCCTGCTTTGGGAAGGGGAGGGCAGTGGCATTCTAATGCAAAAGAATAAATGTAGAGAAAGAGTGGGTAGAATATCTTCAAAACTTTCTTAACTTACTAATGTATCACAGTCTTGTAGTCATGACCAGAGTTCTGTTCTAAGACAAACCAGAATGTTGAGAGTTGCTTATTTACTCTAGCTTGTTTTTAATTACCAAGATGCATTTGGTAGTTCAGGCCAGATATAGAAACTGATATGGTTTTGATTCAAAATGATCAGTACTCAAAGGAATGCAGGCAATGGCTCTGACTCTACCCTGCACTGTGCAGTGCAGATCTGCCTTCCCCTACTCTGGCAGTATCAACTAATGTTGCCTACCTAAATAGGTAGAGCCTTAAGGGGAGGGTAATGCTGGAGCAAGCATACAGTTCAAAGTGAAATGTTAATGGATATAAGGGAAGTAGCATCCTATAGGTACCTTACCAACAACTGAGAACCAGCTATCTATGCTTTTTTATGGATGTCTCCTGCCTAGATAAATACCTCTCTGCATATGTAGTAGATTAAGATAAGACTGAGTAAGAGCTGTAAGGAGGGTATTTAGAATCATATCTGTCTTGTCATGTCTGTGCAAAATATTTTAAACTAGGTACTTCGTATGCCATGAGTTAATGTGCAGAATGGGAAGCCACTGTAGCTTCATTTCTTGCATATGTAGCAGAATTAAATAACACTTGGCACTTCAGCATACTGATTCAGTGCTGTATCAATGCATTGATTAATCCTGTATCTGTTTAGTAGTTATCTACGGAACTAGAAACATGGATGCCTCAGGTGGTTACTAGCCCTTTCTGCAGGGAAATGCACCATGGCCAGTCCCTCTAACACTTGCATCTTAAGGCTGCCTCACTGCATCTGCCTTCTTTTCTGCTTTCAGAGAGAGAACGGGAACTCTGTGTTCGAGAGAGGCTGGCAGAGGACAAACTCGCTAGGTATCTTACCTATCTATAGCTACACAGGCTTTTTTTATTTTGGAAGACTGATGCTTTTTCTAAACTTCTTTTCAAAACAGAGCTGAAAACTTGATGAGGAACTACAACCTCTACAGAGAGCAGCGGACTCTAGCACATGGTGATGGCACAGGTATGAGGGCATGCTGCAGGAAGCCACACGTGCTGCTAGATACAGACTGGTGTGAGCAGAGGAGAGCCCCTGACCCTAGGCACGTTGTACCAAGCCCTGTCTTTAAGGGACAAACACCAGTTATCTCTGCATGGTTTGGAGTAGACACCTAACTTCCTGCTTTGCGGAAAGATGTAATACTGCTTCTCCATGAGAACAGTTTACCTGCTGCCAGCACGGCAGTCTTAATTTGAAAACTGGATTCTTGTGGTCATGTGACTGAACCAAACTAAACTGTACTTTTTAAATTATTGGTTGAAATTTATTGAGCATGGATTACATTTTAATAAAATTGTGCATGTTTAATCATTTAAGGTTTAGTTCATGAACTTCTAAACACATCAGGGCAGGAACTGATATTTCTAATCAGTGCTACGGATTGGACCCCTCTGCATTATCTAAGTTCTGCAGAATACAGACTTCTATCTCCTCACTCTAATTTTGTTCACTAGAACAAACAGCTTTCAAAGTATGCTGTAATATTTAGATGACTCAGCTAAATTTAAGCTGACAGTTTAATTTGTTTTACAAAGTTGTGAGTTCAAAAATATCCTGGGGAGAGCAAGAGCAAAGTGTTGGTAAAATACTGACTAGTACTACTTGAACAGAAGAAATGCAGGAACTTTAGTTTATCTATACTTTTAGTTTACCTGTAATCAAAACTTGGTGAACTCTGAAAAAGATGCAACCTTGGCTTGACTTGCATTATAGATGCCTATCATAACAAAGACAGGAATAAAATGCCACTGCAAACTTGAGCTACTTCCAGCACTTTCACCTGTCTATCTTGTGTTTATTTAATAAAGAATATAAAATTAAAAATAAACTTGCTTCAGGCTTTCTGAACTTGTGTCTGTTAGCTGATAGAGGGTAAAGATGCTTCAGCATTTGCTGCCTTGTCTTGCATCTCCTAACCCCTTATACTGTATTTTAGTCCTAATAGGCAAACCTCCTTCTCTGAAACTAAGAAGGGGAGCCATAATTTTAGATAAGGCAAAGCTTAACACAATTAGTCCTCTCACAAGATGTGCTTCCCTAACAGTGCTGTTTGCTATTATTTTGTCTCATTCCATGCTACATTTGTACTCGCTATCTCTCTCTGTCCTGATAGAGACAGGATCTTGGTGTTCTTCCAAATATCTGTTCTCAAAATCACTTGCTTCTGTATCTGCAGCTAACGTATTTTTAACCTTCACTAATTCCTTCTCGGTTATGGAGAGAATGCACAAGAACCCCCTTACCTTCTACAGCTGTCCTAGACCCTTGAGCCAATTCTTCCTTGTGGAAGGAGTAGCATGTTAGTGCACATGTAATGAGGTGCTGAAGCGCTTGCTACTACTTTACTTTGGGCTTGCTGCCTCTTCTCTGCTTGCTGCATTCTTCTCCTAACTCCAGAAATTAAAAATTAAGATGTTGGAAGAGCTCTGAGTAGGATGGTTGGGGATTTCAGCAAGGCTGCTTCCCCCTCTCCACCTGAGAAGTCTTATAAGGTGACTTTTTATGAGAGCTCAGGTGTCTTAATACCTCCTGATACTAGTTTTTCTACCATAATTCATTTTTTCAAACAAAAAAAAAATCCCCAAAGTTGTCTTGATTCTGACATTGCTGGAAATGTAACTGTAGTGGGAAAATTCCTGTTCAAGGCTGGTATGCAAATAGCTGGATGGTTATTCTTACATCTAAACTCATTCATCTAGTCAGAGCTTAACTCTACCCGTTTGACTTAATGTGGGGTGATGTTGACCTTGCCCCTGCTAGAAAGAGGTGGTAAAATATTTTTCAGTAGCTGGGAGTCTCATTCTTTACTTCCTTTTGCATTTGAACTATGTTACTATTTCACAGGGATTTTTTTTCCAAAGATTAGAATTTAAGGCTCATTTTCTTGTCTACTGTTATTTTATGAAATAAAAGTCATCTTTAAGAGTCAGCTAAAGCTTTTCTAAAAACCTATAAGATGGGGGCTCTAATAAGTGCTGGCATGTATCCTTTTAGCATAATATTTTTAAAGTCTTATTTTCATTTTTCTGCCAAAAAAAGGAAAACAAAATCTACTATGAACAGGAATATATTAATAGACTAAATCCTTACGTGCTTAGCCAACTAGATAGTTAAAGAACATAACTGATGAATACACTAATTTTGTGCTTTTTTTTTTAATTGTTCTTAAGATAATGTGGTCCTGCTCCCCTTTTCTACAAACAAGAAAAAAGTCCATTTTGGTGGAGGCGAAGAGAATGCTGTGGGTCCTATTAATCTGGAAAACCATCCTCTTTCAAAAGGAAAAGGCCGTGATCTCAAAAAACGCCTCTATGCTGCAAACCTGCGTGCTCAAGCCCTGTGCGAACTGGAAAAAAACTATCAGCTGAAGAGCAGACAAATTCTAGGCATGCGCTGAAGCTGTGACATAGATGTACAGTATTTAACTTTATAGAGTTGATTAAATGAACAGGAACATATTTGTGCCTCCCTTTTATAATCCCACCCCACCTGAAAATATATTTTGATAGTCCTTATGTAGACACCTTTGGTCTATGGCAAGTAGCTCATAAGATTGTATAAAGATTATTTTTTGAAAATAATTTTGATACTAAACCAAATAAGGTGAATTGTATTATTAAAAAATATATGTATTTTGGGCCTCTTTCTGTTCCCCGTGCATTATTCTTCTGAAAAAAAGTATACGCATATGGTAAAGATATGTTGTTCTGTATCTGGTGAGGAAGACTTTCTGAGGGAAAATATAAACAGAATCATGATCTGTAGGTAAAATTGTTGCCAATCATAATGTACAAGTCTTGATAAACGGACTATTGATATTTGGGGCATTTGGTATTGGAAAGTTAGTAGCTTTGTGTCTGTGAGTTCTTGTGTAACCACTTTTTATTTGTCTTCAGAGTCAGCAGAGATTTAGTGCTCTTCCTCCTAGCTAGGTGCCCCGTCACACAGGCCTCTTCCTGGTTTATTGGCTTCCTGGCTCACGCAGCAGCTCCTCAAAGGCAGCCTGGTTCAGGGCACAGCATGTGAACTAAACTGTGAGCCTTGGTTTGCCTTGAAACCCCTGCGAGCGGTTCCCCCACGCGCTGCTGTCTTGGCTGGGACACCGTCTATGGCATCAGCGGCTCTTTTGGGGGAAGGGGCAATTGTGCCAGGAGCGGCAAATACTTTTCTTGATGCTTATGATGTATCTCCATTTATCCCTTCACAGGTCCCCACAGAGACAAATAGCTTACGGTGGTGTCAGCTTCACAAAGTGACCAGGCTAATGGGGTAGCTCGTGGCACTGGGATTTCTGGCACGTGTTATCTAGAATGATTGATTAGCTATGCCCTGAAAAGCCACAAAACATGAGTTCAGAGAGCACAGCTAGTTTTCAAAACGTTTGTTTCCTTGCTGGGTCATGCATGCTAACTAGGCAAGTTTCTAGACGTTTTCTCTCTGGAAAAGAGAATATCCCTTGAAATACAAGTTTGATGTTGCCTTCTTTTATGACAGACAGGTACTTGCATCAGGAGGAGCAGTTCTCCTTTAGTTTGTTCTTAGTGAGCACCCAATAAAGCTATCACGTTTGCTTCAATAGTGGTTGCTATTTCCAGGTCAGTCTCTGCTTGAAAGCATTGCAGCCCATCCTGTTTGCCAGCCTGCTGCTACCTCGAGCCGTGGCCGAAGTGGGAAGTGCCTGTTAGCTGTGCAGAGCCAAGGCAGCTGTGCCAGGGTGGCTGCAGCCTTCCCACCGTGTCTGTATGCTCGGGTTTTTATTCCAAGGGAAAATTTTCTTGAAATCTGAAATGCTGCTTTCAAGTAGGTCTTTGCTGTATAGGCTGTAAAACAGCAAAGGGTATTCATATGATAGTATTCTACACTAAAAACTTACACAAGGTGGAAATATTTTGCTGTATATCTTGTTAACCTGCAAAATACCTATTTAGCACCATTCAGTCAAAGGAGGGAATCAGGCAACAAAGAAAAAAAAGTTTCAAGAAAGACAGTGTTTTGAAACAATAGCTGCTTGTAAGTGTTTTGATTTTAACGAGACCAAACTAAGCAAATATATTGCAGGGTTTTTTTTTTTTTTTCCCTCTTGGAGCATGCAGATGCAAATAATTTCTGCAGTTCAAGGAGTGTATTCCTTCAGATCAGGACCTGCAGTTTTCCTCTTTAACTCTGTGGTGACCTCAAGATGGCACTGCTGCTCTGCATCTCGTGAAGCTCATGTGGTATGGATGCAGCGATGAACACAAAATTTAAGGTCTGATGGAGGTAAACTTTTGCCTGTTAGCTCCAGGACAGCCACAATAGTTACTGCAATATTTGATTGTTTTCTTGCATTGTGGATGCTTTTCTTTACTCACCTTTGCAACCACTCGTGGTCATCTCTGATCTGCTATTTTGCATCTTCTGTTTGTTTTAGAAAAGCAGCTTAATCAAAATCTTATTTAGCAATTATGCTATTCTTAAGAATTGCTAGGGAGAGTACAAACTGTATTAATTATAATGGCTGTAATAAATGAGAACAGCCTAAGTTACAGCTCTGGCATTGAGCTGTTGGAGCTGCTCGGAGGGTCCTCTTCAGGTCCTCTGCACTTGAGGCAGGTTTTTGAATTTACCACAGGGAGATCCACAGTTTTGCCTCAGCTCTTGGTGAGTAATCCAGGAGGGAAATGATCTTTTAAAGAGATAGTCCTGGCAGTGGCACTCCCTGCAAGAGCCAACGTCCTCCCTCAAGCACAAGAAGCAGCAGAAGGTCCCTGCTGTTGTCCTGGTTGTCTTCCCTGGCAGGGAGGGATCGCCCCTTCCTCACCGCGCTCGTGGCACTTAGTGCCTGGGGGCTCTCCCTGGCCATGCTGAGGGAAATGCAGCCCCAGGAAGAAACGCCTCTAGCAGTCAGGCTCCAAAACACAGCAGGAGGTGGTAAGGGCTCAGTGACAGACTTTGGGCCATGCCTCTGTCCTCGTTCCTCCCTCGTGTAACCTGTGAGAGGCCAGAGAAATCCTAGCAGCTATAAGGCCCGTACAGTGGGTACAGAAGCCTGTGCCGGGAGCCTGCGTAACAGGCATTTCTGCACCGTGCAAGACTTCGGCCTAACTGAGGTTGTATAGAGTATAATCCGCAGCGGGTATTAGAAGCGAGTTTTATTTATGTATTTACTTTAAGAGCTAGCCAAACACTAAATATTAATCTTTACATTTTTACAAAGCCTACAGATCGAGGGTGTAACACCATATATTGCTATACTGCTTTCCCATTTAATCTTGTTTTTAGCCAGTTCAGCAACGCTAAGAAGTTACTACTCTAGCGATGGTGCCACCTTCATCTGTTGTGCATTCCTGAAGGCAAAGTAGGCTTCTGAGGCTCAGCTTCCACGAAGGGATGGAGTATTATTGGGAAAAGTCCTCCGTGTTCTGTGAAATGGACTCCAGCTGTTGGCCGTGAGCTTTCAGGCTCCACCTGTGCTGGGTTAGGAGGTCTGAGATTCGGGGCTGCCGCATGCAGCAAGCAGCCGACCTTTAGTGGTTTGCCCAATGTGCATTTCTGCACTGGCAAAATGCAAGGGCCTAGGTCAAACTGCTGAGAGTTTTCTGACAGAAGCGGAAAAGATCAAAATGCAAGGGCCTAAGTCAAACTGCTGCCAGTGACGGGTCAAGAGAGTTTTCTGACAGAAGCGGAAAAGAAAGGCCACAGAGATACGTAGAATTAGCTAGCTACGTATGGACTTACTTTTTAATGTAGGTTCTTTCTAAGCAAGACATCATACCTGAATGCATTTATGAAAACTTCTGGCTAATTAATTTTCTTTCTTTCATTGGTTATCAAAATTCAGCTTTGGGATGGCAGTGAGAGTTGAGTGCCAACGCTGATGGAAGATGCTTGCTGCCAAGTTATCTGGTGTGAGCAGGGTAATTTATAGGTCCAGTTATTACTGCACTCTTCTGTGAATTAAAACAGTAAGTATTACTGGCCTCAGTGCAGTAAAGCCTGCTTCACTGAGCAGCTCCAACTCAGACACGACATACAGTGTATAATAAATAATAACATGTAATGCTGTTTTCATTATCAACTTTCATATTTTTATGGTAAAATTAATACAAATGCAGATTTATGAAAAGAAAAATGGGATAACATTCATATAGCTGCTTGATTCTTTCCATTATTTATACTAGTCTGAAAATCATTTTTATTATCAGACAGAGCTACCAAATAGTTTTTAAAAAACTTTTTCAACAGCCCTTTTATCAGGTCTTGCTCCTGTAGTCAATGGAAACGCGCTTACATGTCAGACTGTTTGTTGCACGTCTGTGTGCCAGCCCAGGTCCCAAGGATACAAGAGAAGCCCAGTGAAGTCAACGACAAGCTTTCCTTGGCTGGACTTCAACTTCATTGGCTTTAGATGTTTGTAAATACTTACTCTTGTTAGCTATTCACGGACTAAGAGCATTGCCAAAGACAGAACAGGAACAAACCATCCATCTTTCTTCCTATAAATGAAGACAAGTCATTCTAGGTAGACCTCTCAAACTTAGCTTTACCAAATCAGACCTGTCCTGACAAGAAGCCCCATCACTAGCCCACTGGCAGGCACGGACATCACTGACCGCTCTGGTAGCATCAGGGAACAAAGAATGCATTTGTTTTTCTGCCTGTAATGTGTTTTATCGCACCATTGCAAAGAGAAGCAATCCTGTCTGACCTCTCAGCTCCTCATGGACCATCAGGATGCACTCCAGTGTCCCCAGAGCTAGATCACTAGGTCATCCAGGAAGTTCAGAAAATGTTGCCTGACAAAATAAAAGTGTTAAAGTCAGTGACCAACTTGAGTGCTAATTACCATTTAAAGTCCTTTCTGACTGTGACTAATCAATCTTTAGATGCCACTGGGGAAAGATAATATGGAGTTTCTGCGACTTGGGCCATGACATAAACAAAGCCATCAGGGCAAATGGCAGATCATGACAGATAATGATTTCCTAGGAGGTGAAGCAAATACCTCACATGGCAGTGATCCAGGTAATTAGCTTGCACTGGATTGTAAGTACTTTGTGGTCGCAACTAAAAGCAGGAGGAAGCGTTCGCATTAAAGAAAATGATAGCATCAGGGAAGTATTCAGTTGATAGGACAAAAGAGCATACTTTAGAAGAATTATTACAGATTTACTCTTTGGGCAGACACAAAGATGAACTGAATCCTAGGACTCCCATGTGAACCTTGTGCCAATTTCCAGAGGTGCAGTGTGATCAGAGAGCTGCTGCTGGATGAAGCCCTCCAAGGGACCTGTCTGCCTGCAAGGCTGGCATGGCACCCTCTTCCCATCCTGCTTAGGGTCAGTTTTCACCACGAGTGATTCAGCCAGATTCAGCAAGGGGGCTGGCACAGAGCAGCAGGTTGGCACTCCAGGTGAGCAACCCAAAACGTGTCACTGAAAGTCTGTAAGACATCCAGTGGGTAAAGGTCCCTGCTGCAATTGCGCCACTCTTCA